TCTTGTGCAATGTTCCTCTCAGATGACAGATGACAGGGAGGAGGAAGAGGAAGACAGGGAGACACTCAGGGTGAGGACGTCTTACAGGGGATCGATTTTCAACATGAAGGTTGAAACCTCATCTGCATCGGCAGCAGGGACAGCAGCAGTAACTCCTTCAGCTTGTGACAACCTAACTCAAAGATGGACTGAGAGCATCTGAGCTGAGCATGGCTGCTCTCCCTCACTGCCCCTGTTCCTTGCGGCACGGGGTAGCTGGCACACTGTGTTTCTGGGTTGTGAGGGCCACCACCAACTCCATATCCAACCTGGCATCTGATTGAAGTCAACTCACAGTCCACGGACCTAGAAGATCCCTTGTGCGGCCGGGATGCAGGAACAGCTCTCAGTTTTCAGCCATGTCACAGGAGAGCAAGGTGACGTCGTGAAATCAGATCTGATCCTTGGCCACCTGTTGCAGGCTGCTTTTAAAGGGGACGAGTACGTCCCAGCAATGGAGTCAGGAAGGTCGGGGAGCCCCTGGAGCAACCTCTGTTCATCAGCTCATTGCTGCCTATTGAGAGGGGGTCTACGAGTCCCGAAGGGATCCACAGCCTGCAAATGCTTGTCTAATGAGGACCACACAATTAGGGCTTACATCGCTAGCTATTCACATGCAGATGCCCAAAGCTGGTGTGGTTGAATAGAGAGAGGACCAGCATGTTAAATTCTTCTCCTTGGGAAGAACTGGAATCTGCCCTGGGCCTGAGCACAGGCCCCATCCTCCTGCAGTAAATCAGGAGCCATCCCGGCCACGAGATGCTAATGGAGCAGGGGCAACCAGGAGAGGTTGCTGCAAGACAGATCCGGACGTGGCCCCAGCAGGTCCAGCCTCTCCAGCGGTCTGTGGCCTCCAGGGAATAGCCTGGACTGCTTTTGGTCCCTGTTCAACTATATTTTCATGGCTCTGTGGCTGATTTACAGCCCGGAGGGCAGGCTGGGCTGTGGCTCTGCGTGCTCTGCCCAACTGGGGAAATGCTGAAGGGACAGCGGGGAAGGGGACAGCGGGGAGCTCGGCACGGGGAGCTGTGCAGCCTCTGTCCCTCCTGCACCAGAGGATCCCTGTGGTCCCTGCGGATGCCGTGTCCAGGCCCCAGGGCCACGGCTGATGGAGGGAGCTGCGGAACCCACCGCGTTCCCCGTGTGCTCGCGTGGGGACCGTGTCCCCAGGGCGGCTCTGGAGAGCTGGG